GATCATACAATCGCTTCCAATGAAGCCTTGCAGAAATTATTCTACCGTCGTCGTCTGTGGCAGCAGCTGCGCTTACGGCTTTGGTGGCCATCCACTCCCACCGCAACATAATGGAAGGCAGACGTGCCCGCGCACTCTCCAAATCGTGTAAACCATTCACGGGGCAGAAACTAACATCACATTGCACGACGCCTGAAGCTAACACACGGCTGCACTTATCGCTACTGTCGGCATGCCAGCCGCGCCAGCAGTCGGCTGGGAAGACGGCAAGCGTTCGGCCGGCGGCGGCTGAGGATTCACGTTCCGGCGTCCGCAGGCCGCACGGCGTTCATGGCTGGGCCGTGCTCCGCGGCCATGACGCGGAGCACGGAGACAGCAGCGCGGCCATCTCCCAAACGCGAGAGCTGGCTAGGTGACGTGCAGCCAAGCGCTGAAGAGGCCGACGCTGAGCGCGGACGGCAGTTGACTGATCGTACTGCCTGCTCCAAACGGCCATGTAGCCGGTAGTAGCGGCGGTTGTATCAGCAGGCAACAATGTAGCCGTCCTGCCCATCACACCAGCCACGCTCTAGCCGCAATCTGATACCGAGAAGTTGGACGAGCCGAGCCGCGAGGATGTAAGGTCATGCGTGGGATGCGGTCTCCTCTGCGATGAGAACGCGTGTGTGCGGCAGTGGAGGGCCTCTGGGCCATTGATGGAGCCGGACATGTGTTCTAATCGTCACGACTCGCCGAACGTCTTCTGTCGTGCATGGCACACTGGCAAAACCGGAGGACACCTCCTCGCTTTGACACTGCCAAGACTCAGTATTTACCAGCGATAACGCAAACGCGATTTATACTAAACAAAGCTTTCGTAGGATTGGCCAACGAGACCATTTTCCGCTCGATGTTTGAACAAAACGCCGGCTCTAGGTAGGATACGCAGCGCAACAATCGACCTACAACCCAAAATTGTTGATAGAAAATGGTAATGCACGTAAAAACCTCGTCATCAGCCAAAAAGCACACAGAAAAACTCATGCAAGGTGACAACGCCTACCGTCCGTACATCCCATTAAACCGCGCACCCCGTTGTTGGAAAGCGTTCACACCGGTCGGGCCTGTGCGTGTTCAAGGCGACGGCGCAGAGTCGGCCTGGGGGCGCGCAACTCGAGCATTGGAGAACGGCAGCTGACCAGCACTCGTTCTGCCGGCTGCCGCGCCACACGAGCCTACCGCGTGAGCCCCGATGTCACCAGCACAACCTCGGGCTGCAATACCGGCGGCGTTGAAGGCAGCCGACGGGGTAGCGAGCTGCGCTGCTCCATCAGCGCAGCTCGAGACACCAGCCCATCCGTTTTCTGGCGCCTCGCCATCGGTCACACCGACGGCCGCACAACTGTATCGGACGGCGGCGTGTCCATCGCGCCGCCGCCCGCCCGCTCACGAAAGCCGCCGACGCCTCTACGGTTGCCAGTGATCCGGCCATTGACCTGTCGTGACCGGCTCGCCTCTACCCCGGAGCAGCGGCTGTCAGGCGCTCGGCCGCCATACACCGCGTGTCGACCCCAGCCACCTCTGCAGCAACGCGCTCGCTTTATGGCCGGCACAGGTGATTGCACTGGCCGTTTGGACATTCCAGCGCTGCCACCATATGACACAAGCGGTGACGGGCTCAAGCGAACTGCCAGTCATGTTTTGATTTGTCGGTTCCAACCAGCGTGTGGGAGACCCGGGCCGGCGGTCAGGGGAGTCCCAAGGCTGGCCGTGCCGTTCGGCCCGGCGGCTCCGAGCCGCCCGGCCCTACCTTTGTTGCGGGTCGTTGTCGTAGTACTCGAACGAGGAGGCAGTGGCGTCCTCGACGCGCCGTTGCCGGGACTGAATCGTGTTGAAGTCGTAGTCGGAGCTGGTGGTGTCCGTCTGAGCGCGGGAACGGGACAGTCAGTCAGGAACGCGCAGGGGAAAGTTATTGGCGAATACAGCATGACCACGCGGTGTGCGCAGAGCGCAGGGAGATGGTGCTTGTGATCAACACTATACGAAACTACAACTGAAAACATGCAGACCGCGTTAGCTTTGCCACGAATAAGCATTGGCCACTACAATACCCAGCATCATCCGGCCATCAGCATTCCCATTCGACCAGAGAATAAAACAAAAACAACAGAGGGCGAGCTTCTCAACAGCTCACAATATTACAGCCATTTCAAAAGTATGGTGTGAAAAACAATACATCAAAGCACTCTGTTGACGGCGACAAGTAATTGCTGATGAGGCCACAGCTGACCATGCGTCTGTCGAGCAGCGAGCGGCCGTAGTTGTGGCTGAGCCAGGCGCCGGTCGTCTCCGAGAGCTCCGAGTCGTCCCACTCGCCCGCTGACAAACACAAACGCGCTTCGGTAACCTTACATATGCGAAACGGCCGCAGCCGTAAGGAAACACGCACAGCTGTCGTCCTGAGCACACAGTCGCGGACCTACAGGTCGCCCACGAAAACAGTGCAGCACATGCAACGCGCTCTTCATGCTAACTAAGTGTGTTGCCGGAATCTGAAACGCAACGCAAAATGTATCACGCCAGCACTCACAGCACTGGGCATAAGAAAGTGCGTCACTTCTGAACGAAACCAACAATCTGAAATTTTTTTCAAACGTGACGGAACGGAGCGGCAATGAAGGCGGAGCTGAGGTGACAATGCCACCATGGCTGGCGCGGTGGGACCGGCGTGCGCGTGCTGCACACGCTGGCCGGTGCGGGAGCGCCGCCGGCCGGCGGGGAGCCCGGCCCGGCTGGCCGCTGACCTGTCCTGCCGGCCAGCCGTCGCTCGGAGCGGGTCAGCTGGCGACGCCAGCCGCCGGGCTCGCGCTGCCCGCCCGCCTCGGCCCCCGAGCCGCGCCTGTTGACACAGGGGAGTCCGCCCCGTCACCGCACACCGAGTCCGTCAGCTGGCGGCGACAACAGCCGCCGGTCGTACCTGGGCCGGCGCGCCGTCTCTCGTGTGAGACCAGCGCGCGGCTCGCCGCCCGTCGGCGCCGGAGGGGACCGTCGCAGGGCGGGCCGGGGCACACAGCAGGTGACCGGGCCGGCCGCCGGTGCGTGTCCAGGGAGGGAGTGACCGGGCCGGCCGCCGGTGCGTGTCCAGGGAGGGAGTGACCGGGCCGGCCGCCGGTGCGTGTCCAGGGAGGGAGTGTCCGGGCCGGCCGCCGGTGCGTGTCCAGGGAGGGAGTGTCCGGGCCGGCCGCCGGTGCGTGTCCAGGGAGGGAGTGTCCGGGCCGGCCGCCGGTGCGTGTCCAGGGAGGGAGTCGGCCGCCGACACAGTCCGATGGCCCGCCATCGAGCCAGATGGGACTCGGAAGTCCGACCGACAGAGCGACACCTCCCCGCGCCCCCGAGTAGTGCTTCGCCGCGCCCGGCCGGTGCCTCGCGTGCTCCCCCAGGTGGCGGTGACGGCAAACGTCATCATTCTTCGATGCCGGCCGCAACGAAAACGGAACACGAAGTGACAGCAAAATGCTTAACAGACAGCAAGCAAATAGGGCCCGGTTCCTAAAGTCCACACTTCTGAATAACGCAGTGCACGCTTACGGACCGAAGCTGAAGGTCAGTTTTGACTAACATGAGTTCGCCCTTAAATTCTTAGGAGACACCAAGTCAAAGTTGTTGGCGTTGCAGTAAGACTGTGCGACTTAAGTCCGGCATTTTCATGGTATTCTTTTTCTGAAAGCAATACTTCATCCTAAGACACAAAAGGTGGTGATAAACAGCCTTACCCCTCCACGTGGTATATGTTTTTATGTACTGATACGCACTTTCATCTCTCAGCATTTCAGGAACATTTTGTCGAAGGAACAATGAAAAAGTGACTGGAGAAATACATGAAAGTAACGCAAAGGAAGGAAAACAACTTGCACACAACGTTAAGCTTTAAGGGAGTGGAACGGTGGGTCGTTTGAACTGCCTGCTATATACATTACTAGCTGACACATAAAAACAGCTCCAGCATCAAGCGAAGTCCGCTCGTAGTGACTGGCAGTACTGACACAGCACATACTACGTCGCTATTTTACTGAGGAAAGCTGTTCAACAAGCGAGCAAAAATCACCTACCGAGTAAAACACGCCGTTGTACACAAGTATAGGTCATTAACACTGTTAAGTGGGCAACAGAGGAGTCTTTTTCCATAGGCGCAGGTGGGCGCAGGCGTTTAAGAGATTTCGTCAACCAAGGTTTTAATTAACCGAGCACATTAACACAGTTGTTTATGGACTCTCCTTCACAGTTTCAAAAAAGCAACACATAAAACTTGAAGCAAGCATGCTTAGGCCATCACCCAACGTCTATTTGCGACGACCAAAAGCAGCTGTGTAACCTGACCAAAGACACTTTTCGTCAGCAGCTGGTAGCTGCTCTAAAATTTAAACCAAGGGCACAACATACTACTGCGCTCTCGTCTGTGCATTTAAGGTTAGAATTTAGAGTAACTGGCAAGTACTGAAGCTCTGCCCCACAAATATTGTTTTTTTAAGGTTTGTGGCATAAAATGGTCATAACGTTTCGCCTCGCTGTTTGTAAATTTACATCAGTTGATAAATCATCAAACCCATTCAATTTAAAATCAAAATGTGGGCGTCCTCACCTTCTTCCTCTCCACACATCCCTCATATCCAAACTCAAGACCTATATAAACGAGGAAATAGGAACACCGCAAGCAACTGCCACCTTTTCCATTTCATATTTCAACATTACTGCCGTATCCGCAACCACAGTCGCACAAAACCACGTTATGGTCTCGCACGCCGATTTCCCCCAGTTACTATATTCGGCCCCGCTTTACCCCATAACTCGAAGAAATAAGTGTTGGATCATAACATTATAGCACTGTGCAGTTCGTCGAACACCCGAGCTAAGGCCACTGACCATACAAACTGACCACTTTCGGGGAAACAACACGCACAAACAACGTCCACTTCTCGGTGAAAAGGAGTCCAGCCCCCAATGGCCGGCTTCCGGGAAGCCAGTCACAAGCCGGCGGACTGCTGGTGGCCCTGTAGACCGCCGACGGACTGCTGGTGGCCCTGCAGACCGCTGGCGGACTGCTGGTGGCCCTGCAGACCGCCGACGGACTGCTGGTGGCCCTGCAGACCGCTGGCGGACTGCTGGTGGCCCTGCAGACCGCCGACGGACTGCTGGTGGCCCTGCAGACCGCCGACGGACTGCTGGTGGCCCTTCGTAATAGCCGCGGTCGTGTCTCCGAGCCAATTTTAAGTTCGCCCGAGCGTGCTGTGCATAGAGTCGGCTGCATGACAGGCGGCCGTCGTAGTCTCTGCCCGTCCCGCACCCCTGAGTGAGCGCGGACAAACGGGGCATCGTGCAAAGGTAACCCCGCATCCCGGCATCACCAAGAGCACCCTGCCGCGGCGGATCCCGGCAGGCTGTTATCACCAAACGGACCCTGATACGCCCGATTACAAACACTTGCCGCAGCAGATAGTGCAGTTTGGAACGAAGGGGAAACCCCTTCCGGCTCCAGAAAGTTGTAAGGCACTACCAACATTAGTCACGCCTAATGGACCAAAATCACCCTCTAGGACCAGATTCCAATGTTGACAAGGGTGATATATAGCTTCGCTCGTGTTGTATGACTGCGATTAACTAAAACGCGAAGCAAAGTGCACTAGCTCTAGCAGCGCTGCGCAGTTCTACATTTCCGTTAACCTATGCGGCGTACAGTAAAATAAACTGTTCAAAATGTCACCAACGGCTGCCAGCCCAGTTCAACAATAAATGGTTTCACTAATAAGCCAAAGCTACGTCAAACATGTTCCACAAATGTCGCAACTCTAGCCGTAGGGTCACGTTTACTTGTGATAACGAAAACGATGCTGTCGGCGTGACAACATCGTTTAGTACAAATAACAGGGTGCAAAAAGGTGCTTCCAGGCAACCAAGGTCGTCGTAAAAGGTATCCAACAGCTGATTATCAGGTCATCATATGTTGACGGTCCATCGAGTGCGGGTTCATATACAGAATATGAGCAGCATCAAGTATAAAACTACAGCTTACCTCAGTAGCTTATAACAAGGATATCCATATGCGATATCGGGATAACGCCTAACTTGGGCCTGCCACCGACCAATGTCACCGCTACTACGGCGGGGTACAACCAGCCTCGGCCACCGGCGGCGACGGCACGTTACCTGGGGTCGCCGACCGAGCGGCGATCACGGCTGGAGCTGGCCGACCGGGCCCGAGACAGCACGCTCGGCTCCGAACGCTCCTGCCAGGTACCTGGGGCCCCGGACACAGAGGGCACGGTCAGCAGGGATGGCTCCTGTCAGGTACCTGAGTCCCGGGACACAGCGTGTACGGTCAGCAGGAGACGCCTCCTGCCAGGTACCAGAGGCCCCGAACACAGAGGGCACGGTCAGCAGGGACAGCTCCTGTCATGTATTTGAGGCACCGGAACACAGTTTGCATGGTCAGCAGGGGACAGCTCCTGTCAGGTACCTGAGGCCCCGGACACAGAAGGCACGGTCAGCAGGGACGGCTGCTGGCAGGTACCTGAGGCCCCGGGCCACAGCGTGTATGGTAAGCAGGGACGGCTGGTATCTGTCAGGTCCTGTCAGGTACCTGAGGCCCCGTGACACAGCGTGTACGGTCGGCAGGAACGGCTGGTACCCGTCAGCTCCTGATAGGTACCTGAGGCCCCGTGACACAGTGTGTACGGTTAGCGGGGACGGCTGGTACCTGTCAGCTCCTGACAGGTACCTGAGGCCCCGTGACACAGAGGGCACGGTCAGCAGGGACGGCTGCTGGCAGGTACCTGAGGCCCCGTGACACAGTGTGCATGGTCGGCAGGGGCATACGGTGTGCAGTTGCGGACACTGATACGCAGGGCGCTGCGTGCTGCTGAAGATGTCGCGTGATGACTGACAGGAGAACGGCAGGAGGCTGGAGAGAAATGACGGGAGAGGAAATGGGCCAGAGTAAGAGAGGAAGCACGTCCAAAAGGAAGTGGGATGAAAGACAACCACATGGCAGCCCTGATACACCAATGAATGAGAGCTTAACGTCAAGCATTCTTAAAATTTCAGTAACGTTTCAAACATCAAACGCGGCCAAAAAAAGCAATGCGTAAAGCTGATCACTGAAAGGTGTTAATGGCTGTAATTCAAGGAGCCTTAATAATAATGGTTCAAAGCTGATACTGTTTCCGCAATTCACTTATGTCGGCCGCGCCAATTCCGGAAGCGGGGAGAAAAGACATCAGGGAACCGTAGCAGGAACTCGCAAAAACCGGCGAGAGCACGCAAACTCACCGAGCCCACAAGCTGACCTAACCAGTTCACAGCAGCACAACAGACCCGACCGCACATCCCAGCCCCTGGCGCATAGGCCCCAGCACCCGCCCCCTGCCCGGACGGTCCGTGACGGCCGCGGCCTGAGCACGAGCCGCCGCTCCTCACGAGCAGCACCGGACGCGCGGCGCCGGCGCCTTCAGCTGAGGAAGCGTGGTCGATGGCGCGCCCAGAGGGCCGTGCCGTGCCTTGAGGGGGCGGGCGGACGCACAGCGGGCTCGCGGCGGGGCTGCGACGAGGCGAGGCGTCGGGATCGATCCAGCCGCGGGGTACTGTGCGTGGGTCACTGCGGGGGCGGCCGAGCGCGGCGCGCCACTGTGGCAGGCCCATCACCAGCAGCAGGCGGAGCAGCAGGAGGCGAGGGTGGCGGCTCCTGCTCCCGCTCCCGCTCCCGCGCGGACCGCCGCCAATCCGGCAGCTTCAGTCGGTGAGATTCGGCAGCCTGGCGCTGCCACGTGCACACATCCCCAGCGGACGCTGACAGCATTTGCCGTAGAGCCAGTTTGACGGCCCAGCGGGAGACCAGCCCAACCCAGCCCAGACGGTTCGACAGCTGTTTGGCAATTTAGAGCAGGGTCCCACGGCACTGTTGGACTTGCGCTGCTACAAAAGTGCAAATTGTATTTGCTTCGCCGAAAACGTGCCTCCCGAGACAACTGGTAAAATGATCCAACGGGTCACACACAAAAGACATAAATTTTCGACAAACGCTTCAGTAGACCAGCACTGTCCACCGTCCGCTCGTCGGCATCTGAGCAGCATACTCCCATACACTAATATCAACGTGCCCACCCTACCCGGCTACCCTGTCTGTGCGACTAAGTGCCTGAGTAACAATCTCGAAGGGGCGTGCCACATTCCCGCACCAATCCGAGGCCGGCCCCAGACCCGGATACAGGAGGTTCGGCGGAGGCAGTGGGACAGACCTCCACGCTGGGGCCCGGTCAGAGCCTCTGCAGCGGTAGTCCAGAGGTCGGGCGAAACGATCAGACACCTGACCGGTGTAACCATTTAAACACCCGAGCGGCCGAGCCTCTGACAGTCTTCCCTGGGTCTGACGTGGGGCGAGGGCCAGGCAGTGTCAGCGGACGGTTGAGTGGTCAGACACCCGAGCGGCCGAGCCTCTGACAGTCTTCCCTGGGTCTGACGTGGGGCGAGGGCCAGGCAGTGTCAGCGGACGGTTGAGTGGTCAGACACCCGAGCGGCCGAGCCTCTGACAGTCTTCCCTGGGTCTGACGTGGGGCGAGGGCCAGGCAGTGTCAGCGGACGGTTGAGTGGTCAGACACCCGAGCGGCCGAGCCTCTGACAGTCTTCCCTGGGTCTGACGTGGGGCGAGGGTCAAGCAGTGTCAGCGGACGGTTGAGCGGTCAGACACCCGAGCGGCCGAGCCTCTGACAGTCTTCCCTGGGTCTGACGTGGGGCGAGGGCCAGGCAGTGTCAGCGGACGGTTGAGCGGTCAGACACCCGAGCGGCCGAGCCTCTGACAGTCTTCCCTGGGTCTGACGTGGGGCGAGGGTCAAGCAGTGTCAGCGGACGGTTGAGCGGTCAGACACCCGAGCGGCCGAGCCTCTGACAGTCTTCCCTGGGTCTGACGTGGGGCGAGGGCCAGGCAGTGTCAGCGGACGGTTGAGCGGTCTTCCGCCAGCTCATCCCATCACACCGCCGCCCTGGCCGGACCGTCATGATGGCGGTCGCGGTCGCCCGTCCGCTGCCCGCTCCAGTGTCCCCACTCGTCACCCGTCGGCGCCTCACCGCGGCTGGAGGGGGCACAATCGGCCGTCTGGCGCTGCGTCAGCAGGCGCATCACCTTCTCGGCCATCGTGCGCTTCATCTGCTCGTCCTCGGCGTCCAGGCAGGCCGCGCCGATGAAGTCCACGTACCTGACGAGCAGGGACAACACCGGCCGTCAGAGGCGCTGGCGTTACCAACAGGTGCAGCCCGGCCCGACCTCCGTCCGCTCGTTAGCGACGGGCGTGGCAAGTAACGCGCCACACGGCCCGGGGAGACGCCGCATCCCGACAGTCGACGCCGTTACCGTTGGCTGTAACTCGCCCGCACGCGCGTGGCACCCGCTCTTTACGCTCACGGCCGCACGTGGCCGGCGTGACGATGTGGATCGGAGGTATACGACCATTGTGCTTGTCCCCGCTGCCTGATGCGTCTGGCAGGTTCGACGCATTGCAGAGGAACGCAATGTCGAGGACTGGCTGACACCACCGGAAACAAGGTACTTTTTATCTTCTGTCCATAAAGAGAGTGGCATAAGATGACAAGGTTTTGCTGCCGCATGCCAACTTACGACAATGCAAGCTTATCACTTCTGGGAAAGTTTTCAACACCTTTAGAGCAGTTCTTCGGCGCCCTGATTTCAAATTGGTCCAGCTTCCTGGCATCGAGCCCGAAGTTGACAGATCCTCCGGCAAAATTGCCCCATCCCAGACTCGTTTATAGATCACGCGTCAACACCCATTCAGCGCCCGAGGACTCAAAGGCTTGCCCTGACGACCGGCAGCAATTCGCGTGGCGCTTTTGGGCTTCCCCCCCCCCCCCCCCTCCCCCCACCGCCATCCCGACGCTCACTTCTGTAGGTCGGAGCGGAGCGGCTCGTCCAGACACTCGTCCTGAGCCAGCAGGCGGGCGCGCAGCTCGTCACAGATGGCCGCCACCGTCATCTCGGCGTCGAAGTGGTTGATCGGCCGGCGGATCCGCCAGTGCTCGGTGACCTGCGTGCCCGGCTCGACCGGCGCCGGCGGCGACGGCTCGGCGGCCAGCGCCGGCAGCGAGCGATAGTGGTCGGCGCCGCGCAGCCGCCGGTACAGACCGCGCACGCGCTGGTCCGCCTCCTCGGCCGACATGGCCTCGGCGCCGTCTACGTCCCTGAACCGGCCGGACGGGCCACCCGTCTGCCGGCAAACATGCCAAGAAAGGCATGGGGACGCCGTTCCCGATGGTACATGTCTTCCCCTGGCTGGCCGTACACAAATCTCTCGCCGGCGACGCCAGCCGAATTAAACACCACTTAAGCTACGAGCAGCGACACCGCAATTATGCAATCGCATCGTATGCAATAATAGTATTGCATTCCACGATATGCTACAAACATATTTTAGCCATGAGTTCATTCACTGAGATTGGTGCAAGCAAAAACGTGTCCTTAACGGCAACAGCAACAACACCGGTGCTAGCCAGCTAACAGATCTGTCCATCCACCACTAATTCTCAACACGACAAAGGTAACGCTCGCCTAATGCCTTCTTCTCTCGGGTGTTGCCTGCGCAAAGCTCACCACAGGCTGGCTGTGGCGCGGTTCCATCAACCACCCTGAGAACCACGCTATGCCCCCCTCTCAGCCTTCTCCTCCTCTCTTAGCACCGGTCGACCCTCCCGTTATCTCGCAAATTCATATCATGAGCCGTGCATACGCAGCTGGCTCCTGAGTGTCGTACATGTCAAGCAGAATTCGGTGCTTCACGACGCAGATTGAAGCGTCCGCCCCAAGCTAGAAGAAAAACATGCAAAAGTGCGCAAAGTTAACAATCCGCATAGACGGAGCGTCAACAGCCAGCGTCAGGAGCGGGGGCGGGGAAACGCGTCATGCCACTCCGCGAATTAAGCTCGCGGGCAGGACCCGAACATTCGCGATTACTCACCTGCTCCGAACTGCTAGCTTCGACGGCATCCTGGAAGGACTCGGATTCCTGGAAGCCGCCCGGCGAGCGGCGCACCCTGACCTCGGTCACGTGCCGTTCGCCGTCCTCGGTGGCCGTGCGCGTGCGCTCCGTTACTTGCGTGGCGCACGCCTCCCAGTCGGTAGAGGCGGCGCCGCCGGTCGAGGTGGCGCCACCGTAGGCGGCGGTGGCACCGCCCGCCGAGCCCAGGCCGCCGCCCCAGGCGACATCGGTGGCCGACTCCCGGGCCGTCGACGACAGGAACTGGCCGGCAGCGTACACGGACGAGTAGCAGCTGCCTTCGGACGTCTCAACGCAGGACATGGCCGGCGGCTGGCAGGGGCCGCGCGTCGGCAGCTGATCCAGGGACGAGGTGCCCGAGGTGACGGCGCCGGCCGCCCCGCTGCGGTCCGAGTCGGGCGGCCGCGCCGGACCGCAGTCGTCGGCACCCTCGCCGGCGAACACCACCGTCTGCACGCTCTGCCGCGACGTCTGCTCCGGGGAGGGTCGCTTCGGGGAACAGCCTGAAAGGCGGAGGGAGGAGTTAGGAGAGGACTGGGAGGAGGCATCAGCCTTGGACAGGGTGATCGGCAGCGGCACGTTGCCGGGCAGCGCCACCAGCGTGTCCGAGCTGGTGAAAAAGAGCGCGTTGGTTTTGCGCTCGTCCAGGTCGGACTCGGCCCGTCCTGAGGACGGCGAGGTCATGGCGTCGCGCATGCCGCCCGGCAGCAGCGCACGGCGTCGCGGGTCACGGCGGCGCACGCCCGGCGACGCGGACAGCTCCGACAGGCTGCTCGACTTCTTGGTGATAAGCCGGCCGCGGCGCTGGCGCAGCGTCTCTGCCGATAGCGGTCGCGGTCGCCGGCTGGGCGACTCCCTCTCGCGACGGAGCGGCGAGGCGCCGCTCGTGGGGCGCTTGTGAGCGCGGCGCGCCTTGGCCGAGCCGTCGCGCGAGCCGCGCCGCCGGGCCGGCCGTCGCTCGGCGTCGTCAGCGCCCTCCAGCGCCGGCGACGGCTCGTGAGAGCCGCGACTGCGCCGCTCCGCCTCCTCGGCGATCGTCTCCTGGCGGTGACCAGCGCGGCTGAGCAGCGGCCGGTGGCGGCGGCGCGGCGCGGTCGGCGCCGGCCGCGGCCGGCCCTCCGGCTCGGCGCGCAGCACGGCCGCGTAGCTGCCGATAGCGATGCGCTCTAGCGTGCTGAGGCTGTCGGCCGGCCGCAGCGGCGGCGTCGCCTCATAGCCGACGTCGGCGGCCGCGTCCCACTCCAGCCGTCTGCTGGACGCGATGCTTGAGACGGAGAGCACGGACGGCGACGTGCCGCGCGAGCCGGCCGGCGGCGCCGCCTCCGAGTCCACCGACGTGGCCGACGCGTCGTCGGCGATCTCGCGGCTCCGCAGCCGCTGCCGCGTGCCTTCGGCCGCGTTTGAGTCGTCCGAGCACCAGCCAGCGGGCGCGGGCCGACGCCAGCGGCGCCGCGCCGGCGGCGGCCGGGCCGTGCCTGCCTGGCCGTCACCGGCAGCAGACCGCCGCTGGCCGTGGGCGGCCCATTCGGCTGGCGGCGGCGCCTCGACCGACGCCGGCCAGAGCGGCTCCTCGCAGCCAGAGTCGGGCTCCGGCGGCCGCGGCGGCGGCGGCGTCACGGCGCCGTCCCCCGCCTGGTGGCCGAAGATGCCCACCAGGCGGCGGTGCGGTCGCGGCCGAGCGCCGGCCACCACGCCCTCGGCCGGGGCGCGTCCCTCCGGCCGGCGGCCGGCCCGACCACCGTCCCGGCCCGGCTCGGGGTCGGGCGGCAGCTCCTCAGGTTCAGCAGCTGGCAGCCGCGGACTCAGGTACTGCTCTGGCAGGCCTGCCATCTTGGGTGGCTGTGGTCGCGGCTGGCTGGTATGCAGTGAATGCTCACAGATGACTGCACAGTGGGCACATGGGTCAGATACTACCCTAGATGTTATGAAATCAGGTAGTTGCATTGGGCTGTATGACACACAAAATACTGTGTGTGGATATTGTGCTTTCAGCTTAAGGCAATGTTTCTTTTGCCAGGTTGAGTTCTTTTATCAAAACATCACATTTTCTACAAGGCAATTATAATCAAAGTTATGCAAGATCAAAAGGCTCAACAGTGCTGGTAGTACAAACACACACTGATCCACATACTGGGTCATAAAAAGTAAGACAAATACATGCTACCTAGTTTCATTAGCATGGTTGGAGCTAGTGGACCAAAATTTGGCCAGCTAGGAGGCAAGCAGCTGCCAAAGCCCTCTGTTAGGCAGGCATCGTGCTGCATCACTGCTTCTCACCCAAGAGTCAAGATCAACCTACCAGTACTGAGCAGATCAAGTTGCCAAGCAGGTGTCTGGCCACCCCAGAGAATAGTAATCAAATGAGCAGGGCACTCTCAGGATGTGAAAAAGTCCAAGGTCTGGCTAAAAGGTAGCTACTGGCTAACAACATGAGGTGATCATGCCACAGGTATGGTAGCAGTAACTTTACAATCTTTAGTGCAAGTTGCAACCATACCAAGCAATGGATTAAATCTGAAAATCTCTGTAGTGCTCATAATCAGCATGGATATTTATCTACTCGGGGAAAACAATTTATATGTGTTGTGTCTACACCTCAGTTGCAAGGTCTGTGCAAGAATAATTACAGAGCACTGCATTTGTGAGAAGGGTAGAACTTTGGAGGGATGCTATTAATGTATCGCAAGTGGTATACATGGGTGCTTCCAATGACAGAGAACATAAACATAACTCATGACATGCTATCACAAAATGCAATCCCCAAAAATAATGACATACATCATACATAAGCATCAGACTGCCAAAAATATGTTATGTGGGCATGTCCAGCATAGTATTCAAACAAAGTACCCCCCCAAAGAGTGATAACTCTGTGCCATGATACAAGCAAAGTCACAGGGGTGAGGTTTGGCAAACTAATGTTGCAGCACAGGGGATGGATTTTATGCAGATTGGCAGTGTCCCCAAAATGAATTGTTCATTTGGTCACAACTGAAATACAGGTGCGCATGAGAAATAAAACCATCGCTTCTTCTTAAAATGGGAAACCTGTGGTATTGGACCTAAAGTTTTAAGATATTTTGCCAGTTTCTAGTGCCATTTGCATCCGTGCCTGAGCAGACATTACCCCACAAAAATCAAAAAATTATCTGCCTTCAAAACACTTTGATCACCATCTAACAGAATACCCTCCTCCTACTGTGCCTAAGAACATGTGCAGACGAACCTTACCCAAGGAAAGATAAAAAAAATTGGCGCACAAATTACGCTCTGAGTGAGACGAGCATGTAAACGCTCTCAAAAGTCCCAGGGCAGGCAGCATGGAGAGAAAGAAGCTCCGATATAACTAAAAACTAACACCAATTTAATGCACTTACGGCCTAGTAGGAGTTCTGTTCCTCCAATCACATTTTCCGCTCGGTTTAACTCCGTACTGATATCGCGCGCCTCAGCACAGCCCCCTCGCTCTTGGCATGGCTGTTATTATTTAGCATTTGAATTACGAGATGGAAAATGCTTAAATGTCTTCATTTGACGTCAACATAAAACACAAACATAATACAAATTCATAGTAACATATCACTTAGATAATGCTAGTAATCATAATTAAAATCAATAAACCTTAAATTTTGTGGAATATATATAGCAATAAACAAATTAAATAGCAACGAATTTTGTTTGACGTCATATATTTGGCAGGTTGTTTGATATTACGGTACAACAAATTAGTACACACAAAAAGAATGTGACGGTAAATGCGCTACTGTGACACCCGCCTCACTCGCTGCTTGTTTGCGTTTTTGACTAGATGTAGCCACGGCACCAGATGCGACTCTGGCCCCCGATTGCGCTTTCGAGAATCCTGTGTAATATTGTAGCTTCTGTGCTATTGTGCATCGAACAATGGGCGCCCTGTAGCCAAACGACCCATGTAATTTAATCACAGGAGGAAGCAAGGCCTCGCCTGGTGTTCAAGCGTTATATATTCCTATGCTATAAACGGCTGTCATTGATTGTAGCATGCCGTAATGGTTGAATAAGGATATCAGGCGGTCATTGGAAATGATTTTGCCTAGTGTAAAAAGTTATTCAATCTTATGAAGCATAAAACCATTTTTGTGAACATCAGGGGGTGAATTTTATCAGTGTTTATCTAAATGACTGTGGCCACTGTTGTAATTTTCTATACACTACACCCAGATGTCTGGATTCCCAAAGCTCTTAATGGTTTTAAATTTCACTGAAATTCTGAATTTTGCATAGGATCGATGGGAAAAGTGACTTCTACTGTGTTCTCATTACATTTTGTCCAGAAACTCCATGTTTTCTCAGTGATAGTAGTTTAATTTTTTGCTGGAACCTATAAGATGGTCTTTCAAAGATCCAAGGGAGATCTTGGAATTGTAGAAGCACACAGCTACCTACCTAAACTAACCATTCCAAGTGCAGAAATGTTGTAGAACTGGTTATCTAATATGGGTGAACATCATCCTGCATTTTGCTGTTGCTGAGCTAACTCTGAATTACCTAACTGTTGTGTCTGTGTAGCCTGTCTGAAAATGAATGCAGTATTGTAATATATCCAGTATTTCCCTACTGTATGTGCTATTTGAACAGCTGCACCATCTGGCTGTTAGCCAAGTACCTTTTATGGATGGAATGTTAGAGTGGCCACATTCTTGAGAGTACATCAAGGCCAATGATGTAGCATGTTTGTGTGTTGTTTCTGTGGTTTCGTTCATATTTGGCTGATGTACTCATAGATGGTGTATAACAGACTGCAAAAGCTGGCATGCATAAAGCTTAGAATGAAAAGGATTTGAAGCCTTGAAAATGGTATGGTTTTGAACTGCAGGGAATGATGATGGAAATAGCTGGCTGAGTTCAAACCCCTATTCAGATGCGGAATGGTTATTTTAATGCTATATTACTAGGACATTGACATCTCCATTGACATTTATGGCACTTACATGGTCATTTACCTGTGTATCTGCAGCAAACAGGCTCCCTCCCACCCCATCCTGCCCTGCTCTGCTCCAACTGGCCAAGTGTACAGGCCCAGTCAAGGACGCAGCGACCGACTTACAGTTTACTCTGTAAGAATACTGAGGAAGGCTCCTCTATGCCTCTGTTCCTCCTTGAGGTAGTGTGGCTCTTGCCCATACCTCCTATCCTTCCTGCCTAGATGGGCTTATGTCATGTACTAGGCAGAGAAGACCGCGGATCACGTGTGTGTCGGACCACCGGTGTTTAAACAGTCGCAGAAGAGCGTTTCCAAGGGCGTTTAGGCCGGCTCCACTTAAGCTTGTTGCCCACCCCAGCCTTTATAGTGTGTGCAGCTTCTGCCACGCAGCCACTTGGTTTGCGTAGAGCAGTTGCATAGTCACACTGCTGAGATTTCGGGAGGATTCATGAAGCTGTGGCATAGTCACCCTACGTTTAGGAGGGTGTATGCTTGCAACGTCTCTATTGTTATGCATTGCTGTAGCTTATGCTTCTTGTTGTTCATTGGAGTTTTCGGGCGCGTCGACTGCAGTGGTCGTTTTGCGCCCACTGTAGCTTGTGCTTCAGTCGCTGTCTGATTCGTGAATGCATACTCTGTGCCATTGTCAAGTGTATGGGATTGGTCCCCACATGGAAAATCTTAAGGTCGGTATCACTGAGGTCGATGAACTATCATTGTGAGCTGGAGCTTTCAGATTTGTTATCGGGTCTTGCTTGCAAAAAGGCCATCGCAGGCGAGCTGTGGCACAGAATCACCGATCACCCTGAGACCAGCACCATACCCTGAAGTTTTCAGCGTTCTTTTGCAACTGCCATTTCTCCTGTTTTGTCAACATCGTCGGCACCTGAACATTATAGCCGGTATCCTTGAAAGCAAATAATTTAGATCTCTTCAAGAATATGAGCTTATATGGCTCGTGCCTGAAAGCAGACCGAGTTAGTAAGTTCCTTATTTTGTCAGGAATGGAGGCCAAGCTTGAGGCTTACCGGGCTGAAAAGAGGAGGCAGAGAGAGGCGGAGAAGCGTAAAGAGTGGCTCTCGGAGGTATATCGTGCCACGACCGGCCTGATCCGCCGCAATAGACCAGCCCAGTATGAACCCTCCGTCATGCCAGGACCGCTAGAAGACCAGGCGAGGGCGCCGGCGACTGATCAGACGCCGCCGAGCGCCAGCTCTTGGCTGGACCGAGCGATACTGGTCTGCAAGGTCGGCCTCTACCTGACGCTGTTCGCCATCAGCTGCCACTTCCAGTTCGGAGCGGCGTTCGTCGTTGTCACGGCCATACCCATCATCTACTTCAGGTAAGGCTGGCGGGCCCGCGGCGTCTCGGCCGCTGCTGGGTGTCATCGGGTCCGCCACCAAAACATTGCAGGGGGAAACCTATTGAGCAAAATGTGATCAAACGAGAACTTGGCACGGCTTTCGTTTTCAGCGACTTGTTGCTGGGATATAGAGTCATTGACCCCAATTTGCCATGCATACAATCATGGAAATGAGCGGTGCAGTTTGTTTCCTGCAAATCTTGTCAAGCTTGCGGCCGCCCGCTTGTTTCGCTATATGTTGAACGTGATGTACGAAAAGCCATGTCATCCTGCAGCAGGGTATTTATATTGTATTTCCTTCTTCGGAGCTCATCAGATGTAGTAGGTATGTCGGTGTCATGTCGGGTAAATCGAGATGTGATTGTTCAGCCGGCCACGGCAGTTTGTGGCCACGGTAGAATGTGATAGACCGCACAAGGCTCGGAGGTTGACGTGGCCGGCTGTGTGCCAGTCGCTCGTCAGACCTCCGCACCGCCCAGTCTCAGTTCATCGGACCGTATGACCGCGTGTGGACGGCTGACTGGTGGTGCTCGGCCCGTGCCTGGCCGTGTCCGGCCGTGTCCGGTCCGGCGGCAGAGTCTGACGCCGCCGGCGCGTGTGGACGGCTGACTGGCGGTGCTCGGCCCGTGCCTGGCCGTGTCCGGCCGTGTCCGGTCCGGCGGCAGAGTCTGACGCCGCCGGTACGTTGCAGCACGGGCACGCGCGGCCGCCGGCCCGATGAGGCCAGCGCCTACTCGGTGTTCAACCCGGACTGTGAGGCGATCGACGGCACGCTGACCGGCGAGCAGTTCCAGCGCGAGATCATGTACGGACCGGGCGCCACGTGACCACAGCCGCCCGGCTCGTGCGCCCGCCGGCCGCCGGCAGGTGGCGCGCGCTCTGCGGTGAAGGCGGCACTGCTCGCTGCGCGGGCTGCAGAGGCGGCGGGCATGTGGACGTGGCAGTGTCCAGTAGGGGACGTGCCGTGCAATGTTGTGAAACGCTGTGATGCGCACTGCGATTGTGATGTTGAGCAGTGGCGATTTTTCCAGTGGTGGGTTGTGGTAGACCAGTTCGTGACACTTAAGCTGGTTGGCTGAAATTGTGGATATTTCGGTACAGAAGCCGCCGGGGCTCGCTCCTTTAAAGCAAAAGGCGTGAAAGATTGAACGTCAGCCGGCAGCTATAACTGCCTGCGTCTGTGCACCAGAAGACCTGCTTCGACGAAGGGTCGTGGTAGCAATGTGTCGCGCGGAAGGTTCGTCACGTGTTTCCACGGCCTTTGAGGCCAACTTTTGAGTCGCCGGCTGTTGGATGGGTTGAAAGACGTTTCGTAGGCGTGTACCTTCAAAGGTGGACTCGCCATGTTAAGTGTGGACGGGACGCGGCACCAAAATGGAGCGGCACGCTTGCCATATGGTCTCGTGCATCTCCGTTTGCAGACGCTGTGGAAACAAGAAACCGCGTCCTCAAGCGTAATTTTCTTGGTGCTTTCTGGGGTCTGAAACTTGACTCCTGCATGGAGGGAGGGGCACGGTTCGTTCTGGCAATGTTCATCGCTGATCCACATATACTGGTTTAATTTTTCCCCAAATCGCCCCAAGCTAGGGGCGCCATCGTGATTTTCTGTACGTCCTTGACCTGGGACAAGCCTCCGTAAGAGGGCGCCGCCAAAGCCGATGCCGATTTTCGTGGTACTGCTGTATATGAAGATTGTATATGAATCGTCCGATTTGGGGGCCTTTTGTACCCGTTGTTGTCTTGTCGTCTGACGGAAATATTTTCCCCTTGACGTGTTATGTGTGTTAGGCCGTTAGTGTTAATACGAATTATATTATATTATATATATATTATTGTAACCGTTATTTTTAGTACATGGTTTAAAGCCACATAAACTTTGTTGTTATGCTTTTGTGAGAATGGGTAAACAAACTTGGAGTCAACAAACGGCGCGATCAAGTGGATCAGTTGTGCCATAAAAAGCGAGAATGCAGTTTTTGCTGAACTTGTAACACGATTTCCTACCACGGAAAGCCTGCCGCAAGCGATTATTTCCACGGGCGCTCACAGTGAAGCACAAATAACCGCAATGGTGAGAATTAGTCGCTAGAATAGCACATGACTTCCATCATTGTCGCAGGAAGTCTCAATAAATGATCATTAAAATTCGACCTCTGGCCAGCAGAGATTGTACCTGTGCGATGCCAGCAACATGCATCATGTTCCTTGTTTGCCACCTCCAAAGAAGACTTGAAAAACGGCATGTTACCTCCCCCGCCGCCTACCTGAGCAGTAAATTTCAGTGTGGGTGTGGTAGTTATTCACGTTTCTTCCGAGAATTTCCGTTTTGACGTGTGAAACCATTTTGGATACGCAAATAAGCCTACCTCATATATTGTTATATGTGTGTAGATAACCACATACACGCACATGTGATTATATATATATATATATATATATATATATATATATCACATTACGAGTAGGATTGCGGGCAGGGGCATGGACGTTTAAGATGAATTGGGGGCTGGACAATGAAAAATGGCCCAACGCACGCCTAAATTATGCCAAGAAACACCTCTTCAGATTTGGTCCTCTTTCCTCCCAAAGTTGGAGGGTTGAAGCCCCTCCCCTTCCCAATTGAAAGGGAAACTACATCTCTGATTGCGGGGAATTACGCGCCTCACGATGCTGTGGTGCGGCACCCTAGGCCTGGGTTGACCTAGGTCGGCCGGTTGCCATTTGACGTTAGTGTAAATTGGGCCAAATAATGCGCTCGCTATGGGACTTGCGTCGAGTGTCTCTGGGCGACGAGCTAATCACATTTCGCCCAGACCACAGCGCCAGCGGGCAAGATTAGTTGCCACCGTCCTCTTGCGTATACTCCTAGATGTGAAGAGCGTCCTACGTATGATCATTGTAGCTTATGTCAAGTTGCATCCTGTCTACACTCAGTCGTCTTGGCCTCTCTCTTTCTTTTGTCGGATGGCTATTAAATAGAGCCTAGAGGGTTGACGTAGGTGCGCGAGATTTTTTTTTTTTTTTGCTCAGGAGATTTCACATGGCGGAGTGCTTGTCTCAGACTTATCGAACATATACAGCAGCGCAATGACAAACCACACCCCTTTCGTCACCAAACGTCCTTTATATTGGGGATATGCTTACGTACTTGGGTCTTCCTCATATTTCAAATGGCGCCACATCCCTGCCTGCACTCCTCGATATTAAAAACGTTTTCCACATGCGACCTGCACAGCGTTCTTAATGTCCTCAAGAGTTAGAGATGGTCTAAGATCGAAAGTTTTTTCCAATCTATATAAAAAGTTTGTGATGAGGATGTGGTTCTCAGTTACGCTGCCGCACATAGATATTTTGGCATACGGTTAAGATTGCCCCGCAGAAGTCATCTTGAGGCTGGTTGGTATCCTGCTTTCGGTAGATAAAAATGAGGCTGAATCATCCTTGTGTGAGAGTAAACAGGACGCCGTGTTGTAGCTTATGACAGGGGCTAACGCTCGCCAGGCTTATGCAGCTCGCAGATGTAAGCAGCCGACTACTTAACGCCGCCTGTCATTGCAAGAGATTAATGAAGTAACCATTGAATGGCGTGACATATGCGCGTCGTTCACTACGTTACACGTAATGCGCTGCATGGATCTCATTGGAATATGACGAATTGGAGTTTGGTAGAACCAGGCGGCCTCAAAGCCACTGCCTTGTTAAATACGAACAGCTCTTCACTGTACACTTAACCCCAATCGTGTATCTTAGCATAGCGGTGGAAGGAAGTTTAGACAATCAGCTGGACAGCCCGGGAACTTCGCTGGTCTTACAGTTCTTTCGAGCAGAAATCACGTGGTGTCTGGGGAATTGATACACGCGCCCGGCGACGGTTACCTGAGTGCGCTGGTCCTCCGACGGTCATGCATCGCCGCTGCGTGGAGTCTGCGCGCTCTGGGTGGGGAGCCGTCGGCGTGGTGAAGTACCACTGACTGTGGCAAGTCAGCTTGTCCCGAAAGGCATCGTGCTCAAACTGCTGCTCTCTTCAGTGGTTGTCCAATGAAAAAATGGGTCATGCTGTCTGTCAGCGCTTCAAAAAGTATGTAAGTGATCTCCGTCTTGCGGCATCGCTGATACTGGGAGACACGCCGTGCGCGACCACACCAGCGCCGTGTGTGCGCCTGCCGTCAGCTCGTGAGCTCCGCTGCCGACCCGGCCTGCGCGGCGCGCCGCGTAGACTCCCACCCGCCAACGGGCCCACGCCATCGAAACCGGGTCGCCTGCGTTCTCTAAGTTTGTTGGCACTCCTACAACCGGCAGCCGCATGTTCTTCTCCTGGTGCACATCCCGTCAGATGCGCTGCCGAGGCGCCGCACCCCAGCGCCCGGCACGCTCTCTCCCCGGCGCAGGTTGGTGCGCCTCGGCGGCGGCTGCGGCGCGCCGCACCCGCGCGGCCGCGCCGCTCGCGTCTGTTGACAGATCAGCCAGCTCTCCGCCGCGACGCCGGCCGCCGAGGGGAGCGGCAGGGAGAGCCGCAGCGCCGCTGCCACTCGCCATGCGCACGTATCGATTTTCGGCCGGCGCTATTGTGGCGTGCCGGCCCATCTGAGCAGCGAGAGCCGGGGATGCGGCCTCCCGCTCTGGGGCAGCGCAGTGGACACGGCGGCGGCGGCGGCGGCGCCGACGGCACGCGCGCGGAGCAGCAGCCGGTGACCTGTGCTGACCGGGGCCGACTGCCGCGGCCATGTGAGCGCGGCGGGCTGAACCAGGTGCTAACAGGCGAGAACGGCCGGCAGAGGGCGCCGACGGGAGCGTTGAGGACGGAGGTAAGCGCCGGGCGGCGAGCGGCGCTCTCAGCTGGCGCGGCGGCGGCGGCGGCGTGACGGGCCTGATCGACCGCCGACGCCGATCGATTACGGCACGGCGCGTGCTGCGAGGGCGAGATGCTCCGGCTGATACCGCAGCCGGGCCGCCGGCTCGGTGTAATGCTTCACAGGATAGGAGTTATCTTCCATGTCATGGCACGGCGCGTTCGGGGCTTAACGTGTCGCCGAAAGGAAAAAAGCGAGGGCTTTCGTGTAAAAGGAAACAGGAGGCAAGGACGGCTCATCGGCCAACAGTATTCTGTATGCTTGGCATTACCTTGACACCAGACATTTGGGAAACACGAGTTAAGCACTGGCACTATTGCGTTTCATAGATTGGTACAACAGTGTGCTTGTGCACTCCCTATCAAGTTGTGGAGGCTTTCTCATCCCTGCAAACGTGCCAAGTGAAAAGTAAAATATCCTGATTTTATATCCGTGTGGCAAGCCTTCATGCCACGCAAGCACGTGCACCTTCTTTTCGTCCGATAGTACGTGTCCTGGGGTTTTTGGTTGGTTTGCATTATTATTACCATTATTATTTGTTTTTACACCCCGGGATTTACACTGGTGCCGCTATTCGTGCGTCACTTTTATGTTCTGTTGCTGTGGTTGGCGCATTCCAAACACCAATGCACGTAACATTATCAGCCTCACAAAGGAAAATGCTCACCCGAAATCCTTGTCCCCATTTTTGCACAACCTGCCTGCAGTTTAGGACAAGCAAACCATGCCACTGCACGACCTATGTTAAGATGTGAACACGAGCACCACCTAGCATTAGTGCATGCCGCCAACGGGCATGCCTTTTCTGAATTACATCACATCGCTGTCTTTTGCCCCTTGCAGGGGGAGGAGATGCCTCACATCACCCTTCTCATGTCACTAAATATTCTCCAGCGACCGCTGCACGCATGCTCATTTTCCGTTCTTGGCGCCGAGTTTTCTGTATTTCAACGCAGCATATTACTTGGTTTCCATGTTTACCTTTAACCTTGGCAGTAATATATCCAACTGCAATAGTGCTTTCTTTGCAATCATGCCCCGTCTTATTGTGATGCACTCCTTGAAAAGTGGACAAATCATAAATCGCAGGATAATTTCGATTTCGTGAAGGAGGAGATGTACCGAAATGTTTCCCTTAGAGGACGTGCAATGAAGTCCGCCCAACAGATTTTGGCCACCGGACACATCCGAAATTTGCACTTAAGTTTTAGTTGGTGTGCCCCAGATTCCCATGGCATCATGGAGCTGCGCAGCCCAGAGTAAAAAGCAAAAGTTAGCCTGCGTTGGTCTACGGGTTCCAGCGTCGCAACGCAAATGCAGCCCAGAGCTATTCGCAAAACCCTGTACGTCGCTCAAACGGTCTTTGCGGAGCCAAAAGAGAGTGAAAGGTGTGTGGATACGGTAAAAACGGCAGTGGGCATAGCAAAACTCAGGTCTTTCACCGCCAAGGACCAATCAAAGGCATATAAAGAGTAGCCCAGGAAGTCAGCACTAGTCACACAACTGTATGGCATTTTCTGGAAAACGACCTCAAATTATGCCTATGACATGGCCATCCAACAGAAGCTGACAGAAGCCAATAAACAGCGGCATGTTGCTTGCGACACTTGAGCCCTGGCTAAAGACGAAGACGGAGGCCGATCCTGGGTGTCTGAGCTGAGCCTGGTTCAGCGACGGAGCCCTCATCCACCTGAATTAGACAATGCACACATCCAAACTTTTAGATGTGGTGCTCGGAGCTGTCAGAAACCGTGCAGACAGCCTAGCGCAGAGCCTAAGGTGAGAGCGTGGTGTGCCTGAGTTCCAGCGGCCTTGCTGGTCACGTCTGTCTCCAGTGTGCTGACGACTCCACGGCCACGGTCAATAAGAAGCGGACGTCAGTATGCTTCTGGAGGCAGCTGGAGCTAGGCTCCAGGGCAAAAAGGAAAACATCTGGTGCCAGCATGACGGGGCGACTCCTCACACGTCAGCGACGCTCCTGACTTGGCTGGACGGGGCGACTCCTCACACGTCAGCGACGCTCCTGAC